ATTTGAGTTACGATTTTATTGAAATGACTTCGGATATTTGATCAATTTTTTAACATACCCGTCATCGACTTTATATTTTTGTTATTTATTATCGAAGGTAACCACTCAAATCTAGGTATATCTTACTATTGTAATAAAAATGTAATCAACATGAATGTAATACAAATAAATATTTATCACAAACAATATTAAGGCATTGTTTTTATTTTGGTGTGACTGCACTTAGTATTTCAACAATACTTTAAAGTTTATTGAACTAAGACAAACTTACTTATATAACTACATTGTTCTGAGGACATTATTGTTTACTTACATTTTTTTTTATTTATATATATTTAATAGCTAACAAATGTTTTAGGTCACTCTAATGGTACAAATTGAGAATCTATCGTGTACTCATTAGTAACTAAATGAAATCTTCAATATCTATTTTATAAATACATTATAAACACATTAAATCACAAAGCACAAGTTTCGATATTTTGACAAATTATTTTATTGTACTAAAAGATTTCTTTTTTTATAAAATATCGATTCTAATAAATAATATTCACATATTCAATTTAAAAAGTTTACAATTAGTATAAAAGTGATCATAGTACGTGAGTTAATGAATTCCGAATAAACGTTTCGAGAAGCGAAATCACAAGGTGAAGCCACACAAAAGATAACCTCGGTGCGCGATAGCACAAGCGGCGATAACGATGTCGAGTAGGTAATAATACAATGCCAACTCAACGCTCGACCTACCTATAACTATCGCTTTTTTACACTGTCTTCCTCTACTATGCTTGTCCCACACCCAATATAATGTTGCTCTATAATACCAGTAACAGTTAATTTATATGAAGAAGAAATAAAATTATAATAATTATTTTATATTGTTTTTGTTTATTAAAAATTATAATAGCATTTTTAGATTTATTCATTAAATTTCATATTTTTTGTAATTTCATTTAGAATACGGATAATTTTAGTAGGCAGTGGCAAGCTGATGTAAACTCCGAAATGATTTCCGAATCTGCGTTATGTTGTTAAAAATATGACATTAACCGCATAGCTGTCACATGAATGTATTTGTAAACTAACGTCAACGTCATCAAATGAGAGTGTCAAGAGCGATTCGGACCGATATGCGAAGAGGACGCCACGTAACGGTAAAAAGACTAATTTACCTCAAATGTTGCTACCACAAAAATATTTTTGTTCTTTTTCGCACTTTCCGTAGGCAGTCGCATAAGTTCATTGGAACGGTAATGGACGTCGTATCAGTATTCAGAACTCGCGATTTTTGTTTATATCTACGATAATCCGCTTAGGAAACTTTTGTAACCACTTTAAAAATCATATATATTGCACAAGGATGTAGTGCGCGCATTTAATATTAACGCAGATCGTGTTATTTATCCATTTTTCAGTGTCTTTTATACACACCACTTGCTTCTGTGGTAATTGATTGGTCTAAAGAAGTGTAGTGTAATTTTTTCCTTTCGTATGTCGTTTTAAAATCAATGTTTGTTGTTATGTTAAGTTTTTATGAACTTCTTTTTGTATTATAATTGTTATTGTGTAAGTTTTACGACGTTTTATGTGCACAATAGTATTTTATTGGAAGGATATTACAAAATGGTTTCGTTGTGAACAGGTAAGGGACTTACGTCGTTTTTACATTGAGTTCTAGTTTTACTGCTTTTCTTATTTGTTTGATAAGATTTGTAATTATAACTCGCTTGGTTATGTCTTAAGTTCTAGTGAGCCACGATTTTCTGTAACGTGTATATTTAGGGCGAATAAACCTGTTTGGCTTGGAAAGTGGTTCACAATCTTTTTTACATGATTGTGTAAAATTAAGCTGGTTGCCATATAGTAGTAACCAGTTGAATTCCCTTAAAAATGCCTTAAAGTATAATCTAGAAATGAAACAATGTTATTCCGTACAAGCACTGTTGCTATATGTTTTATTTACTGATAAAATAACAGGTTTTATTTATCACTACAAGTCTGTATGTATAGGTTTGTTGGGCAACAATTTTACGAGATTCTAAACACAAATACCTTTTCTCAGACCTTGTTTTTATTGCTAATACTAACTTTCCATCTGCAGTTTTGTCGGTGTACATTGCATGATCTTTAAACCCTTCTGTTACCTTAGTAGGGTGGGGAGTTTTCAACGGCCTTTCATTGAGAAATTCTATATCATAACAGTTATTCACATACCAAATTCCTGCTTATTCCATTCAGTAGTTAAGACCGTGAGTTGATACATAGGTAAGCCGCTTTTAAACTATTATCCAATCAAAATAAATCAACACATCTCAATTAGACATTTTCTTATCTCTCGTTTCAATTTGGTTTTTAAACAAGTAACCAAGTATTGTATTTTATATTAAGACAGCATACACCGTAATGTCGAAACACATTTATGTCTTGTCTTACTTTGTGACGGAACGTCTGTTTAATTCTAATGTATGAAACAAAAACAAAAATGATATGTGTTTATATTTTGTAGTTTTGCGAGTTTCTATGTTTGCTTTCTGACATCAATATAATGTAATCATATTTATGAATTTTATACATTAATAACAATTGACAGTTGAACATCTTGGTTTGGCTGTATTGTAAGATATATAACGTAATACATCACAATATAAAAGAGGACCTGTTTTAAATTATCTATACAAATTAAGTCAACATATATCAATTTTGATGTCTCGTTTCAGTCATTGTTTAGTTGCTTTAGACAGTCAACGGGTAAACTGTGCACTAACTTTAGTTCAATGTTTTGTAATAAGATGGAGCCTGGCTAATCTTGAGTTTAACTTTTTGGGAGGTTAATATTGGATTGTGTTTGTTTTATTATTCATTTTGTCATACACTCTGCATATTGATAAAAATCTCATTAAAATCCTTTGTGTGATTAATTAGAATAGGTAACAGTTAAAAACAACTCCCAATACAGATGTACTTAACAGTACAAAATTAACTATTATAGTATTGATTTCTTCTTCTTCTTAACTTTAATGGCACTTTGCGTCACCACATTACTGCTAACTTCACGTTGACCATTACACAATCAAAATACATTCATTCAACAAAACAATTTTGAATTACCAATATAGTATTAATTAGTTAATACTTCAATTATAATAATACAAACTGGTTAACAATAAGAAAGTATGACTAACTAGACAGGAATTTTGAATAATAAAGATCATTAAATAACTATTAAGCTAATTAACTAATTATCCACATTAAAAAAAAAATAAGTTAATAATATAATAACAATTTTTAGTTAGTATGTTTTGGTTAATGTGTACACAGTGTTGGATAACCCATGAGCTATATAAGCAATTGTTAATGGAATAACTTGTTGAAGGCAGCAGAAAAAGCATCGGAAAATACTGCTACCACAAAGGTTAGATTTTTTTTTTTTAAAATTGGTGTATTTTGCATTCCAAATATTTTTTCATATTTTCTTTAGTATTCTAATGGACTCACTTTTTAATTTTAATTATGATACTCCCGTATAAAACAGGGAGCAAAAAGCAGTCCTTGCTGAGTTTCTTGACAGTTCTTCTCAGTACTAGATCTCCTGCCGTAGATTTGTGAACTGATGGTGTAATAAGCTAGACTGAATAGATGATGTTGAATTTGAGTATTTTTGTATGTAACAGATACATTATTGTAATAATTCTTTCTGTCAGTGACTTTGCCTTGTGGTTTTGATAGTAGATTTATACTTAAGGAACCCTCAAGCTTTATTTACGTTATGTGTCAGTACAGCCTTATATTTATCCGTTTATAAATATCTGAATGATTAACAGACATATGTCCATTCTCACCTAATATCCTGATATTATGTGGATGCAATATTTAGGATTCCGTACCCGAACTCTAACATAGGAACCCTATTACTAAGATCACTCTCTGTATGTCTATCACTAGACTCCCTAGACTGTATAAACCGTGATAATTAGTCATTTGAAATTTTCACAGATGATGTATTTCTTCTATCCCATTAACAAATAATAGTAAAAAATCAAATAAATATTTAAGTTGGGCTCCCATACAACAAACACAACTTTTTTGCTTGTTTTAGAAAGCAGATGACAGTTTTATAAAAGATTGTTTAGGGCAATAAGAAGTCTAAGGGTCAGTTTCACAAACATCCAATAAGGTTTAATGATGCCTTTAAGCTCTAATGAATGTCAATTTGGATGGATAATGTCGCTTTAAATTAATGACAATTTTAATGGACATCTGTACAACAGGCTGTTTAACCGGCACTGTGTACACATTAACTGGTCAAAGGTAAAATAACAATTCAAATTTACATCTTATCAAACATTAACCAGTCCTTGAAGATTTAGCTATTGCGTGTAATGGAAGGCTAAGATATCGCACACCTAGATTTAAACTGAGACAACTCAAAAATTTTAGTAAGTTTTGACATAGTACAATATTCAAATACTCGGTGATCATACGCATATATCCAACATAACAGATTCAATAAAGGTTCGGGGATGAGCCGCTAGATAACCTTAGCTTTCTTTTGTTGAATCAACGGTGCTCCTGCCACGTAAACAAATGTGTTGTCAGACCTCCACATTAGTTTTTTGAGTTGTCTTAGTTTTTATCTAGGTGTGCGATATGATAATACAAAATTTATATTATCGTATCTTTTTATTATAAATGCTATTATATTTCATTTTAAAATATTGTCTTAAGATGTCTTCTGATATCCTAATATTAAGTATATTGAATTAAAATGAAAATATTATATTATCTTAGCTGTGTATGTTGGGCCTTTGGAATATAGCAAGCAATATTTTATCTCAGCGGTTCAATATTTTACAAAAAGCATTACAGAAGGTTGTGAAAGTAGGATTTCAATTATACAGAGTCGGAATGTTGTTAAAAGCTAAGTGCAATTGGTATTAATTTTTACATTCTTGTTTTCAGTATAAAAATTATTTAATAAGAGAAAATAAATAATCAAGATGGCTCTTTGTGAAAGTCAACTGGATTCAGCGCTTCCTCAGTTGAAGAGTGGCGAGGAATCACATCCGAGTAGTGGGGACGAGGGGAAATCTCCGGGGAAGAAACCAAAAGTTGAGAATGGAGACTTGTATGGGTTGGAAAAAGGTAATTATCTAAGGGGCAGTACTTTATACATCAATCGCCTTAGATACCTCCAGATTATCTTTTATAGACGAAGAGCTCATGACAAGTTAACTCAAATCCATAAATTATGTCACACAAAATTCAGGATTTTTAACCCCCCCCCCCCCCTCCTGTCACCTATTTATCTATATAAATTCCACTAAATATTGTTCTAACGTCCCCCCCACCCCCTCCTAAAGTGCGACGTTGTGAATCGCTTATTATTATTTTTGGTTATTTTATCTAAATGTTAATGAAATGTCTTCCTCACATATCAATGGTGGCAAATGTATAATAAATAATATTATACTTCAGGTAGACAGCACAATGATAATATGCAAGTAGTTGTGATTTAATTGAGATGCTATTATAATGCTAAACGTTAGCAGAACTGGCCTGCTGGATATCCAGTCTCGCTGGATATCCAGTCTCGCTGGATCCCGCGGAATTTCGGTATTTACGAAAACTCGCGGGATTCGTGGTAAACAATTTATCAAAGTGACTTCGCATTTATTTACTATTAGTATGTGATTCATTTAAATGCATTGTTGATTAGAGATCATATACAGGAAAATCAATAAATTTATCAACTACGACAATATAGTAATTCACTACAAGCGAAACAAAAACCAATATTTTAACTGGCAGGATGCAGAAAAAATCAACTAATATTGAGTTTTGTGACTTTGGTTAGCCTTTAACTGAAAATTAAATATTTTTTTAGCATAATCCTAAATGTTCCATAAACGGATTTCTGACGATATCTTTAAGCGAATTTAGCTTCATGACATAGTGAAATTTAATTTTTAATTAGTTATTAACATACTGTAAGATTTACGGTCAATTGCACAAACGTCCTTTAAGGTTTAATGACGCCTTAAAGACCTAATGGATGTCAAATTTCTATGGGTAATGTTACTTTAAAGTAATGAAAATTTTAATATCATCCCCATTCGGTAGATATTCTAAGGTGCTGTACAAAACGCTATTCTTTATGTTTTTTACTGCGCGCCGCCAGGGAGTGGAACTCCATGACGGTGTCTATATGGTGTAATATTACGTGCCTGGACTTCGTGTGGTGGTCGACTTAAATATACTGAACAACTTTTGCTAGAGTAGCAACACTAACTTCCGTTTTCACTAATCTAGAACTAGGCGTAGCTTAACAAGGAAACGCCTAATCTTAAGAATCACCTAAGTAGTTTAGTTAAATCCCAAACAATCATTTTTTCTTTTATTTGTTGACCTATTTGTGAGCTGTCATATTCCGCAAATGCCTAGAGTAAGGTACCGCATAACGCATATCATAACTTTAGACATTGAAATGCATAGGCGAAAGATTTTTGAGATTTTTGATTTAGTGAAATGGACATAACTTCACGAAAAAATAATCAGCAGTTCCATACAAAATTGTTATGCGTACAGTCGCCAACAGTATGAAACAGCTGATAATATTTTCGTGTTGCTCTCCTAACAAAAGTTGTTCCGTCTAATTAACTCATCCACCTCACGATATCCTGGCACATAATAATCTTACACCTCATAAACTTCCGAGTTATATACAATGTCGTGTTATCTTGTCTTTAGTGCCTGGTGGTCTACCGTTGAGCGTGGACTATCGCTCTCCAGTATCACACTTCGTGCCGCCCGCTGTCGAGATGTACGCGGCCAGAAAGAAACCAGAACTAATATCACGTAAGTACAATAAATATACCATTGATCTTTAATAGGGAATGGCGGTGATTAATATTAAGTGTAAATTTTAAATTCTTACTATCGCCGCCTTCATCACTATCATCTTCATCATCATCATCATCATCATCATCATCATCATCATCATCATCATCATCATCATCACCATCATCACCATTACCATCACCATCACCGCCACTGTCGTCATCGTCAACGTATTAATGTTTCCGTAGCGGTGGTACAGACCTCTATGAAATGAAATGAGGCAAGAAATTTTTGGTTGATGTCCTGCCCTTGAACGAAGTTCTATGACTGTGCCCGCTTAAACTCCGCGTTGTGATATGTGGTGACATCTATCCCACCTCGTTAACATCGCCACAACATTGAGTGCAAGACAATAACTTTCAAGTTACCTCGCATAGTCCAGAGATGGCGCTGCGACAACTGCATTGCAACATCTAAACTGAATCGTTTGGATCTCGTTCCGGGCTACCAACACCCAGTCCGGAAACAACATCCTTTTAGTCTTCCTTCGCTAAGCAGAATCTCACCACCTTCAAATTATGTAAATCAAATGATTTTTTGGAATTTAAAATTTAAACGACACACTACCAATTTCCCAATAAATTATTGAATTATATTATTTTTTCTCGCTAATATTGTTAACTTGAACATGCAATATTTTTTTAAGCTTTCCTGGTCATTGCCATTTACATGAGAATTATTGTTGTTTTTGCGGGATCGGACGTGCATGGTAGCAATCCCATAAAAAGCTATTGTTCTAATTTAAACCATGTACATTTCCTAATAAGGTGCATTTTAACCAAACGAAAAGCAAGAATACAAGCGTTCCTTCTTTTCTTCTAGTCTAAACGAAAATTAGTTTTAAACCTTGAAGTATGAGAACTCTTTTACACCTGTGGCGGTGTGCCATACCACCGTTGATTACGTCCTAGGTTTCAGCGTGCAAACTTTTTGTCTTTGATATTCAGCATAATTTCTGTTTATTATTCACCTTTCGTAAATTTTGACTAATTAAATATGATCTTTATGGATATCGGTTCGTGAAAAATTCTTCTGTTGTGAACAAAAGAATATAGACGATCATTAATTCTCGCTCTTGTCCAACCAAGAACTAGAATTCTGAACAACGCTTAGATAAAACGAATGCTAATGTATTCAATAACTATATGTACTTAAACCACTAGAACACGAACGTTTTGAACAGCGAGCGTGTCCGATCACGCAAGAACGCTCTAAGCAACTGTCCGCACGCTCTGGTTGCTTACATCAAGTGAACGAGCATTCTCAGAATGTTCCATAGAATGTTTGCAAACGCAGATAGAACAACGAGCGAATGCTCTATGACTATTTACACTAAAATAATTTAATAGAGTGGGGACAGGATGAGTTTTAGCTCGTTTGGTGTAAATCGGCTTTATGCTAAATTTTATAGTACTTAATGATAGCGTGTCAATGGTTACGTTGGTACAAACGACCTTTGAAGGAGATACACATTTGTTATTTAATTCCACAAAATCTAACCACTGAAAAGAAAATTATCATATAATTTATACTTATCTAAAATTATAACAATCTTTGTCCTAAAATACTGGCTGACTGACAGACAATGCACAGTCTAAACTGTAGATCGCAGAGACTTGAAATGTGGAGGGTAAATTTATTTAAAATTATAATGTCGATGCCAATAGTTTGTCAAGAACAACCCGGTAGTATATTGCCGCGAAACTGATCAAATGTCAATTGGTCGAAGTGACAGTGACAGATAGCCTTGCCCTTAGTAAAATCGACAATCGGAGCTGCCCATAGTAGTCGATGTATTTCCCTCTAGCAGTACTAAGAACGGGTTTTTGAAAATTTCCCCCCCTCCCCTATTTAAGTAAAGCTCAGTATCATTCATTCATTTATTTATTTATTTGCCACAAACATGGTTAATAAAATAACATAGTTAATTTTTTATATGAACATTGTAGCAGATGGACTGTAGGCTGGATTATCAAACGGGTAGGTAGCAGAGGTCGCAAAGTAAAACACTTGGTTCGGAGAAAACACGGAGAACGTTCGAAGGCAGAACATGCTTTATTGCGAAAAATCGATTACTTAAGTACAATTTGATTGCTCGCACTTATCCCATATATAAATCAGTTATCTTATAAGATTTCTTAGAGTGGGGGTATGCTACCCCGCACCGCGCGGGGAGGGGAAGGTTTCGCTGTGGTCCCGCTGGTGGCGCTGTTGTCGAGACGTGGCTCGATGTCCTTTACAAACATCATGTTTCACCTATTACTAAGCATGTAGCAGTATCAGTCTCAGCGACATTTCACACTATAACGGAAGACATGTCGAATAGTGGGCGTAACAAGTAACATTCTTTTATTCATCAGATATTTGTTAATAGCTCGGTGGCGTAATGGATTAGCGCCACGGCCCGTCATCGTTTTGTTATACAACTTTCGCAAAGGTCGGTCACAGGATGGGTGACCAAATAACTGCTCCTGCTCCGTGCTTCCGATGGCACGTTAAGTTGTCGGTTCCGGCTGCATTTTGTAGTCGTTAGTTATACCCTCCAATTCACATTGAGCCAGCGTCATGGGTCATCCTCCTTAACCATAAGGAAGACCTGAACCGCCCCTACAGTGGGGATGTAAAACGGCTGAAGATGTCATTGTATTCTAAATGTTATGTCCCTATGCGACATTTATATTTAGTCCAAAATTTTACCAGTATTCAGAAGCCGATTTTTAAGACGATTGTAGTTTTAAAACATTTAAAATTTATAAATACTTTAAAACTCAGCTTAAATACTTTTATTATGAAATTATGGACGTAAAAATAATGAAGGCACTCGTATTTTAGGAACAGTCAACAGCACTTGAGGATATACAATTCTGTCAAATTGTCCCAGCTTTATTTTAAACCTTAATGTTTTACAAGTAAGCTTCATTCGTATTTTATAACGCCATATTTAAACATCAAATATCAAGCACTAGACATTTTGATTTCACGACACTGGGCACTTTACTTGCATCCCATATGCAGCGAATATGTATTATTGGATGAAATTACATTTTTTCTACTTACTATTTAAAATAAATACTTTACTCTTTGCTACTCTGCAAATATTTGACGTTTACAAAAAAAAAACTACATGTGGATTATGGCTTCAGAAATTAGCATTAATACGTTCGATTAACAAAATTGCTAATCGTTACGAGTAGCTCGGTGGCGTAGTGGATATGCGCCGCAGCCCGCGATCGTAGTCGTTAAGCAACTTTCGCAAGGGTCAGTCACGGGATGGGTGACCAAAAAATTATTATCTCAAGATACTCCGTGCTTCGGAAGGCACGTTAAGCCGTTGGTCCCGGCTGCATTTGCAGTCGTTAATACCCTCCAATCCGCATTGGGCCAGCGTGGAGGGTCATGGCCCATCCTCCTTAACCATCCATAAGGAAGGCCAGTGGGGACGTAAAAGGGCTGGCGAAATTATTGGGATAACGAATCTTAACTTTTTACTGCAATAAAGATAATGCAGGCTTTGTGTAGAAACAAATTATGTATAGAATCTATGAAACTAAGAAAAAAAAACAGGCACTTGGATATGCACTTTGCAATTTTTATTTAATTACTTTAATTTACATAAAAAAATCGTCTATTTATTTTAATTCATATTCGGTCATTCCATCGTAGTTCACCATTATTTTTTTTTGTTTCGTTGATTACTCTTGATTTTTTTTATAAAATACCGTTGTGTTTTAGCAAACATTAATTTCTACTTCACCATTCGACCTGGCATGCGAATTTTTTTTTTCACCCCGATTTTAAGTTTTTTTTCTTTAATTTTTCTTTTCTCAGCGGAGTCGAGTCTTTTCACGCCGGCGAAAAGAAAGCGCGGAAGGCCGCGAGTGGACAAGACCAGTCCGGAATATTTAGCCAACTTGGCCGCGAGGAAACAGGCCAAAGAAATGGGTATTTTTTTTATTTAAGACAACATTACATACATTGCTCAGATTCCAAGTTGAGTAGCTAAAGGTCCTTTACGAGTATCAGAGACAAAGAAAAAAAAAGATAATATCACATACATTGCTCGTGTTCTAAGATGCGTAACGCCTCCGTATAATAGAGTAACTAATACAAAGAAGCTCCCATAACACCCAGACCCGAAACCATGTCAATATACCCGGACAGACCGGGGAATCAAACCTCAGAAAATTCGGTATGATAACAGAGAAACTCCAGCTGTTTTTCTACTATCACACTATTCGCGGGATAGAACATGACTAATCCCACGGGATTTCGATATTTGCGGAATCCCGCTTATTAAAGGTGGGGAGAGCTCGTGAAAAGAACTTTCTAAAGCCTCTTTATTTCAGTATATTAGGGCTATGTATACCCATTAATAATTCAAAATTAAGAAGCAATTTACAAATATATTAACAAAATAAACTTTTTAAAAAATAAGGAAATATATCATAAAAATTTGCCAAAATACATTTGGTATTATTGTATCAAGTTTCATTATATCAGCTCTAAATATAAACACACAAACAACAAAGGCATTATAAGTCCCGTAAATTTCTAATGCGCTGGAACCTTGTCCTATAACACCCGCGTTACGTTATAATTAGACGGAAAGTATAGACAGCGCAAAAGAAGATATTTATTGAAATATATAAAGAAAAATTCCCATAATATTGATAAAATAATTTAACAACTTTTAGTTTTTTTTTTATTATTAAAAACTAAATAATAATAAAACAAACATTAACTTTGTAATAACCAGCCCTGCGATTCTGTAACAATCCAGACCCGAATTCGAATTCACTCATGTGTCCGAATTCTCGTCGTTTAGTATAGAAATCATATTGATTCCATTTTTTGTATAAAAATACTAAACAAAATTGACCGATTAAACGTGTCATAGATATTTTAATCCTATATCATTTCGAAGCTCACTTCACTTATTTCACGAAACATTATTACCAATTCAAGCTTGAGCGGATGCCGCTTTTTGAAGTGAATTCGGACACCCGAGTGATTTCGAAATCGGGTTTGAAGTTTTACAGAATCGCAGGGCAGAGGTCGGAATTAGGTAGAGTTATTTATGTACTTGCATCGAAATGTTGATATTAATGTGGACCTTCCCGGGATTTCTAATGGACAATCCCGTGTGGCCAACAATCTTACAACTAAATAATAATAACAACGTCAGAGATAGACAAATAAAACAAAGATAATTAAAATAAAAATTTTATTAGTTTACATTAATTTACAATTAATTTCGGGATTTGAGGCTTATCCACTTTATTCTTTCGCTATATGAAATAAGTGTAAGTACATGAATAACTCTACCTAATTCCGACCACTGGTAATAACGCGATAACAAAAGGAAATGACAATTTTTAAAACATAATTGAAAGTAATAATGAAATGAGTGATGTTACATATATTTACTATTAATGAAATTATGTTTACTATTTGTGAAAATCATAATAACAGCTACTATTTTAGATAACCATAACAAGTAACAACAAAACTTAACAATAACAATCGGTAACAACAAAAACAACAAAAATGATCTCAACACAATCTCAACACAACTCGATCTCAACACAACTCGTCGACCAATGTTTACTTGTTAACGGTACTGATTTTTGAACGCAATTACTTTTTCAATATGGCTGCCAGGCGCATTAGCAATGTGCGGGCGTTATACTAAGACTTCCCAGACGCCCATACGTTTTTCGCTGCCGTATTATAGTTTAACGTCCCTTCTCCGTTTGAATTTGTAGGGGGCGTTTTCGGTCGTCTAGCAGCAGTTTCACATACAGCACCGTATCTCCGAAACTATTAATCGCAGACATGCCATTACTTATACATAATTTCTCAGATATTAATGGACTAGTTACCGTGGCGTAGCGTGCTTTGTCAGGGCCCTGTATAAATATTGGTTTGGGGGCCCTATTAAGGGTAAAGAGAAAAAACAAATTTTAATCATATCCACATCGATTATTGTGGGATCCCCTTGTTACAGTAAATGACTTAATCAGAGAAATCCCAGCAACCAGCGAAAAAAAGTTTTTTTTTTATTTTTGTTAAAAAAGAAATTTGGGAAGTTTTTTATTAAATTTTACTTACGCGCGTTGGGAGGCACCATGGCCCGGGGCCCCGGATAATTGATTAGGCAGATACGGCGGTAGCTACGCCAGTGACTATTTATTTATAAAATAAATTAAGTTCATCAACTAGTCCAATCTGAATCTCTCTTCTGAATCTACTAGTCGAAATGAGTGAAATAAGGTTTTTGTTTAAAAAAGTCTAGGAGCGGGGGCTCGCTACTTCACCGCTTTGTAGAAAATGTGCAAAAGCGTGACGTCACGTGATATTTAAGTCGTTGTACCTCCATAATTTATTAATTACGAAAATAATATGTGTTTAATATTCTTCAATAATGTATCAGACGGGTAGACAATATTTATTTTATAGATACACATTAAATATTTAAAAAAAAAAATATTTCCATAATATAACTTATTATTATAAATCTAAAAAAAAATGTAATTTTCAAGACTTGCCGCCTAAACGTCACTTCTGTCATGGCGTCACGGCACTCTGAAATGAGTATCGTTCTCTATATGCATAAGGTTGAACAGGGGCGTAGACAACTATTTTGAATATTTTTATTTTATAGATATAAATGAATATATGTAAAAAAAAAAATAATAGCATTCATATAATACGTGGAAATCTAAAAATAACTTTAATTTTCAAAATCTCCCGTGTTAACGCCATTTCTGTCATGCATGGCGTTGCTATGACGTTACGCCCCTCCTAAAGTAATGTAGTTCTATGTATGCATAAGGTTGATCCCTCCCAAGTTCTGATATGAGTAAGACGGATGTGACGTCACGCGCTGTTTGCGGTCACGTAACAAAGATAGTAAATCATTTGTTTTTTTCTTTTTCATAATTAGTTTAAGCAATATTGTATATATAATAAGCAGTGGTCGGAATTCGGTAGAGTTATTCATGTACTTACACTGATTTCATACAGCGAAAGAATAAAGTGGATATGCCTCAAATCCCGAGATTAATTTTAAAGAGCAGAAAAAATCCCGTGATTTTTTAAATAAAAAGTTATTTACTTTTACACAATTTAAACTACTGCACGCACGTCGTTGCCAAACTTACATCAATGAAAGAAAGAAATAAAGAAATCCCGGAAAGGTCCACATTAATATCAACATTTCGATCCAAGTACATAAATAACTCTACCTAATTCCGACCTCTGGTGATTATAGGTAACAGTATATATTAAATACTACCAGAAAGAATAATAGTATGTATTCATTTTCATTTACGCGTATTGTAATTATTGCAGCGGCGGTGATGAATAACAGAACGCCATCCGTCGACACCGGTGAGAAACGGAAGAGGGGCAGACCGCGAGTCGACAAGACCAGTCCCGAGTATCTAGCCAGGAAGAGAGCCAGGGAATTGGGTCAGTATTCTTCATTATCTAAGCCGTTCTTAACCATACGGGAGGGGGGGGAGGCATAAATTTTAAATGACATGGCAGGATTCTGTAGAACTGTGCCTAAAAAATATATATTCATGTACGTTAACATACTGTGGGTTATATTAAAGCTTGTATGTGTGTCTTTTAACCAGTCCCGAGTATCTAGCCAGGAAGAGAGCCAGGGAATTGGGTCAGTATTCTTCATTATCTTAGCAGTTCTTAACCATACAGGAGGGGGGGGGGGGGGGAGGAATAATTTTCAAATTACATGGCAGGATTTTGTAGAACTGTGCCTAAAAAATATATATTCATGTACGTTAACATACTGTGGGTTATATTAAAGCTTGTATGTGTGTCTTTTAACCAGTCCCGAGTATCTAGCCAGGAAGAGAGCCAGGGAATTGGGTCAGTATTATTCATCATATTAGCCGTTCTTTACCATACGGGAGGGGGGGGAGGCATAAATTTTAAATGACATGGCAGGAATTTGTATAGAACTGTGCCTAAAAAAATATATATTCATGTACGTTAACATAATGTGGGTTATATTAAAACTTATATGTGTGTCTTTTAAATATCACAAATTATATATCTAAGAAGTGAGAGGCACCATAACAATTATACAAAAATTAATACTTCAATATTTCTATTATCTAGATAAGAAGTAGGTATATAAAAGTAATATACCAGATGTGGTGTAAAAGTACGTGTATTTAAAAAGTTAAATATAAAAGAAACCGACAAAGAGTGAAGCAAATTATAATCATAAGCCCTTTTACGTACGTAAGCCCTTTTACGGGGCTCAGGCCTTTCTTATGGATGGTTAAGGAGGATGGGCCATGACCCTCCACGCTGGCCCAATGCGGGTTGGAGGGTATTAGCGACTGCAAATGCAGCCGGGACCAACGGCTTACCGCGCCTTCCGAAGCACGGAGTAGCTCGAGATAATAATTTTTCGGTCACCCATCCCGTGACGGACCCTTGCGAAAGTTGCTTAACGACAACGATCGAGGGCCGCGGCGCTTATCCACTACGCCACCGTGCTACCCATAAAGAATATAATCTTCTTGCAAAATGCCAATTACAATATTCTCGGATACAATCAACTAAACACACACAAAACGGCTCTGCAACTCGACAAATGTAATGTATTTTTCGTGATAATCATAAAATAATTTAAATATTTAGCCGACTACAAAAAAGGAGGTTCTCAGTTTGACCTATATGGTATGTATGTTTGTGCGTGACTATCACGCGTTTGGCTGAACCGACTTTGATGCGGTTTTCGGCATAGTATTTTTTGCGTTACCTTAATAGGTAAGCTATCTGAATCGTTTAATCTAAAGCTTATTACCGATTAGTTATTGTGTTTATAATAAGCGTGTATCTGAACGCAAATTAATTGAGACTTGCGATAGATTACTACTTTCCTCTTTGCGTAATGTCAACACCTAAAATATGTAAATACCTTGATAGAAAAAAAACGTACTATTTTTTATGGCATATTTTGTCGAATATTCTAGAGAATTGTGATGGGCTATTCATTTTAATTTATTTTAAATGTATTTTTACAAATTACGATATTGATCCGGCCATGTTGAAATCTTATCTTATAAGAGAATCGTGAAGTTCATGCTACAAATACTTAATATATGATGGTGATTGCGATCCTGTCTTTTTGAAAGATAGCAAATGAATGATATCGCTAGTTCTACGTTAATTGGAATTTTCTAAGGCAAGCGTTACACGCAAATGTTACTTTAAGTTACTTAAGTTTTTTGATCATTCAAATAACTTGTTCTAAAAACGAATGCAACTTTAAACGATATGTAATGCCATAAATATCTATCTATCTAATCTAACGACATTAAGCAATATCTAAAATTGTGACATGCGTATTGTGGCGCTTTGCGCTAGGATATGCCTAGAGTTAACAGATCACAGATATGTCAAAGCAAAAGCTTCTTTTTTGGAATTAAACTTATCTGTTTAGGGGATTCCTAAGATTAGGCATTTCCTAGTTATACTTGTTCTAAGTTAGTGTAAACGGGTGTTAGTGTTGAACATAACTGTCAGTAGATCACATCACCAAAATGGCGGCCAGGTGCATTTGCGCAGATAGTTTTGCCTAATATATATTTATTTGTATATTTACGTATTTATACGGTGATATTTTGTCCAGAAGCCCTGGAAAGAAAGGCGAAGAGGGAATACAAACGTCGCGGTACCGCAGGTCAGTTTAGTTTAAACGATTTTAGACTTTATCTTCACTCACTTAAAGTTCAATTTGCAATTACTTAATAGACGTATGTTTTTTTTTTTTGCGACAACGATTGTATTCGTTCTGTTATATAGGTGGGTTTACACTTGAAATTTTCACAGTGCACTTAAACACTAGAATAGATGGTGAAAAGAGTTATATATATGAATAATTGTAATTGATTTTATGAGTGTTGTTTAATTACCAAATGATTTGAATGAGCGACTGTGAATTTCTATAATTTATAAGTATATATCACTAGTGTGTTGAAACAGTTCCAAAAATGTATTTTCTACTCTATTTGTGTAAAAACATAGTATATTTTTTTCATATTTAAAATGTGTTTTGATTAGGCTATCAGAATTGTAGTAGCTTAATTATATATTAAAAAAAAAATGAATAATAAGAATTACTAATGAATAAAATACATTTTTGGCTGTCTGTTCTTTTGAAATGTAAACAACGTTATAAAACTACTACCTAAGTGTTATATTGTATTTAGTTTCAACTAAATATTAAAGTTGTAACCTAAATAGAATATCGCATATATATTTGTACTCTAATATTATGCAATACTGCCTGTATACATATTTTATTGGCCACAACTAATTGTTTAACCAAATTCAACTTTACAGCTATTGAAATAAGCTCTGAATTTCTGTAACCGAGTGCGTAGAAATATAATACGAATATTGCATTGTGTGGACATGCGAACCGGTTTATCGGTTTCGTTTACATTTCAAATGTAACAGTGGAATTGGGATTTCACTAACACTATGTTTCATTCGTTTCGTCCTCACCCATCACTAATATAACTAACATGTATATATCGATCGGGTTTTTAATATTAAATAATTATTCGGCTCTAATATTTAATTATATGATACAATTTATGATTCTATTCAAAATTTCGTACAACCAGAAAGAAAAATGCATTTGTAACCTCCCGTCTGCAGTGAAACCGGTGTTAAAACCGACCGTTAAAGTCGCGCAGCGGGTAAATAAACTGCAAACCGGCAAAAAGCCGGTCGGTACCGGTAAAAAACCGGTAACCGGGACCGGTATGAGGAAGGTCCAAGCGAAGATAGCAGCGAAAAAGGTAGCTGATAAACAAGCTATGATAAGGAGGAACACGAAATTTATAAAAAGAAAAGGTAATCAGGTCATAGAATCCTCCGAATACGGAATAATTAATATGTTTAAAGAAAAATGAACTATATCATTTTAATTTTATGACGTATGAGTTTTATTAAAGTACATTTTATAACTGTGGAACTTTAACAAATATAATGTCTAGCAAGTTCCACGCCAGTCGGTATCTGCCCATTGACAGTCACAACTATGTAGAAAATGTACAAAGGTGTGATGTCATGCAACATGTCACCTCAATGTAATTTACAAAAATATATAATTAATAAGCAGAGGTCGGAATTAGGTAGAGTTATTTATGTACTTGCATCGAAATGTTGATATTAATGTGGACCTTCCCGGGATTTCTTTATTTCTTCTTTCTTTATTTATTTCTTTCATTGATGTAAGTTTGGCAACGTCGTGCGTGCAGTAGTTTAAATTGTGTAAAAGTAAATAACTTTTTATTTAAAAAAATCACGGGATTTTTTCTGCTCTTTAAAATTAATCTCGGGATTTGAGGCATATCCACTTTATTCTTTCGCTGTATGAAATCAGTGTAAGTACATGAATAACTCTACCTAATTCCGACCACATAATAAGTTACGCAAAAAAAAATCGTGTTTAATATGCTTTTACACTCGACCCAATGGACAGACAAATAGAAATGAGTCATTTGTTTCACCTTCGGGGCATGGAACATTGTGGCTACACTACGACACTAATAATTAATTAGTGTGACTATGGATAGAAGCTTAATATGCCAATAAATCAGAAACAGCTCTATTACGTCATCTACTGCAGGGGCTCAATCATTCCTAGTCCAAAATAATAATAATTTACTCACCCATCCTGTGGCTGACGCTTGCGAAAGTTGCTTAACAACAAAGATCGCGGGCTAAGGCGTATATTCACCACGCTACCGAGGTAATACATAGGTAATTGCCAATACATAGTTGCAAACAAAAAAAAACAAGGACGTATTACTGCAATGTCTTATCGTTAGATTGCAGCACCAACGCATGTAATAAAATTTTTGTATATAAACCTCAAACGTCAGTCACAGAGTAACGAGCAAAGAGTAAAGTAACAGAGAGTATAGTATTACTATAATATTTTATGAATTTATAATTAAAAAGTGTGTAATGTTATCCAATTACACACCATTGCTGCATATTTGAATGTGAGAAAGAAGGGAATCTTTCATTTGCCAAAGTCAATATTGCAAAAAAGTTTTGTTTGTTTACTACATGCGCTGGCGGTGCTATTTACGCCGAGGTTTGCGTGATATTCTCTAATACAAAATACTAATGAATATTGAAAAAATAGATTACAAGAAATATCCGATATTCAAAGTTTTAGTAATTTAAAACACTCTTAAATTTAACTAGTGAATCTCTTATTTGTTAGATGATAAAGTTCATTTTTCTATAATAAACATAACTTATTATTTCGCACTTGAGATGGCCTTGGATGTTATTTATGGAGGTTGCCGTAGTTTTTGGTGCATGATTGTCGAGAACTTTTTATTTGTGGTGTATAATATATATGCAAGGACTTTATGGGGTGGTCAAGTTGAATATACTGAACAACTTTTACTATGGAACCAACACTGAAATCATTAAAAAATCAGCTGTTTCATTCAATTTTTTATTTTATTTTATAAATAAATAGTCCATTCATATCTGAGAAGTAATGTAGAAGTAACAGCATGTCTGCGATTAATAGTTTAGGAGATATAGTGCTGAGTTTGTCCCAACGAATGCAGATTAAAATGTGACGTCACAGTTTAGTATTGTAGCGAAAAATGTACGGGCGTCTGAGTGCAATCTTTGTTATTTGAGCATTTATGTTTATAGTTGTTATAATGAAAGTTGTACTGTTTTATGTAACTAATTTAATGCCATATGTATTTTAGAAAATTTTTGTAATGATTTTCCCTACTTTCAAGTTTTCAAAGCAAAATATGTCTAATCTAAAATGGGTCATATTTTTAAAACATATAATAGAAACCTGTATTTTCACTTGTAGGACACAAGCCTATTGTAACACCTACAATCGCAAACAGTGTGACACAGCTAATTATTTATAAGTGAATTTAGTGTTGCTCTCATATTAAAATTTGTTTATTAACTCATCCACCCCGCGATGTCTTGGCATATAATAATAATACACATTACATTATTAATTGAAATATTTTTTGGAACTGATTCTAGAACTGCGAAAATTATAGAAAAAACAATTTTCTTTTATTTATAATTTGTTTATGAGTTTTTACTATTATCAAAGTATTTTTATAGTATTTTGTATAAATAATAGAATGCATGGCAGTAGATTTGTGGACGATATAATTGAAATGATGACTAGTATTTATTAATAATAACAAAACACGTAAAAAAATCAAAATAAATAACATATAAAATAGATATTTAATTTTTAAAAAGCTTAATATATAAATAAACAGCGACGTTTAGGGAGCAGTGGAAAAAATCTTAAAATTTATTTTACGCTTTATATGACACAACTAATTAACTAACATTTTTAATACTACATTACATTACTATACATTATTACACAAAATAAGAGAAAAAAACATTCTTCCCTAAATCGACCTGTGTCCTATCATTTAATGACAAGATATTTATCATACTGTTATTTCAACAATTGTTTTAATATATCAAACGAATAGCATGACGTTGATGTTCTATTACAGTGGACACCTGTCACTTGGGGAGGGGGGGGGGGAGACAATTATTTAATACCTCTTTATAGTTTAAAAAGAACGAGCTTCACAAATTTTTTCATAGACATTATAGGCTATGATGGAACAGACACGCTTCAAAATCGCTAAACGAAATAAAAAGTAAATATAATATAAAACCCGGCATCACGAAGCGTTTCGAGGTGAGGGGGGGGGGGGGGGTATACTATAGAGTAACATGTTAGTGAGACATGCTAGACAGAGTGTTGACACTTTACTGACGTAAATCTGTCGTTTCCGCGACTTTAATTACTTATTTCATGCTTGCCAATTGTCTCTGGCATCACAGATAATATATACCCATATAAAATGGATTTGTATGTCAAGGCATATTGATCGATTAACAAATAAATTATCTCTTTTATGTAATAGAAAGCGACTGCATATTCTAATGAAGGCCCTTTTTTAATTTTAATAAAAAAAGTCAGTGAAAAAAGAGCAAGCCGTTGCTGAGTTTCCTGTCGGTTCTTTTCGGTACAAGATCTCCCGTCGTAGATTTGAGAACCGATAGCGTTGCCTTCGACATTCACAAGTGATTGTAACAGCCTAGACTGGATTAATTTTTAAATAATTAATAAATCTAATTTGACTACCAATACAGACGGTGAAAACTATGATCTAATCTATTTAGTAGCAATCAAAAACGAATAATAACCCAAAGTATTAAGTGACCATTAATAGTAAACAATACATATCGTATCGCTACCCATAAAACTCTATCATTTCCGCAAAGTGCTGACCGAAATAGGTCGCTGACCCCATCCGATGAAAGCTACGCATAAACGATACATAATTCTAGTAGCGATATGTATCGTTTACTTTATTGCTTATATATTATTAATATTTATTTGTTTTTTTTTTCGCCTATAGAACACTGCACAGCTTTAGTAAAATACATACACTAAATTCTGACTAAAGTTTAATCATCATACTATAATATTTGTCATTCATACTAATTTTCATCCATTTGCATGATTGTAGTTTTAGTTGAATGAGTTTATGTGTGTTTAACAAACGATTTGACGAGGAATATACAGGAGGTTTTTTTTTAGAACGAAAAGAGAGGATCTTGTATATTACTGGTCATATATTATTATAAATATATAGCGCATTGTTTGTTAGCTTTTATTTCAGAATATTTAATTGATTCCAAAGAATCAAGCTTAATAAAACTGTTGTTAGTGTGTAATTTAAGATTTAGCAACTCTTTAGGACTCCAGCAAATAAATGGGTTTCCAAAAATGTTACTTGAGCACATTCGTGCTTCAGAAGGCAGGTTAAGCTGTTGTTTCTAGATGGATAGTTGATAAGATTGTGATCACCCATCTGAAGACTCGATGTTGCGAAAGTTGCTTAACTTTTGAAATCACACATTGATCGATGGGCCATTGAGCTATTCAGATTTCAAATCACATTTGCAACATCAGTCCTTTTTTATAATTGATAATAATAACACTGTTACATTGTTGATATATGTTTGAAACGTTTTTGCTGTCTGTGCATCGACCACTCCATAGAATAAAGTTGCATCTGAGTAATTACTATTTATAATAACAGTATTATTTGTTGTTTGGGGGTTATTTATTTTATAAACTCAATTGTTAGATTTAGAACTGTAGTTCTAATAAAAAAAAACTACATTAATTAATTATATCCATTAGTAAAACCATATAATATTAAGAAACTAATATAAATACATATTACTGTATTCTACGGATACGTAGATATAATTACACCTTTTTTGCATACCGTACATGACCAACAAATTTCACTTATTTGCTAAAAAAATTAAAAGTTTTGCCTTGTATATAGTTCTAGTAACGTGAAACTTTTTTCTCATTTATATAGCTTTTAAATATCTTAGATATAATATCATCAAGTTTTTTTTTTAATAATTTCGTTTATAACAGACGTTTATAACTTTACATTTTTGGATATCCATACGTAATTGTAAAACTATAGAGATTTTTATTTTATTTATATTTTTTTTTCATTAACAGTGGTAGAAGTAAACAAAAACTGTACTCGACCTCTGTGTTTAAAGATGTCTTTTTTATCATTATTTTATTAGGTTGACAAAAAAGAGTTCTTTTTTTATATTACCCAGTATTAAAAATCGTTATTTTAAATAAATTAATATCGTATTTTTACAATTGCATACAACAGTTTTCTGCACGGTAACGCCTGGCTTTATTTAACAGCAATGTTTTATTATTAGATTCAGCTGCGTCCTCGTCAGCGGGCGATACAACACCCCGTGTCAAACGCAAATACACAAAACGCACGCCGGGCACTAAGAAGAATGATATTGTAAGTATGATTTGTTAATAGAATTTCCGCTTTATGACATATGTTTTAAAGTTCAAAATTCATTTGGAAAAGTTTTTGAATTTACTTTGAATATTTTCACAAGGCTTCTTTTAATTTGAGTTTTATGTATTTATTTTCGCTTGTAATCGATATCTTTGATTAAGTTGAAATTATTGATGTTAAGAGTGTAATAATTGGTCAGTAAAATTATGTCATTTTAAATTTAATATGGCAGATGTTTTTTTTTGTATAATATCGATAAAAACGAGAAAATTAAATCTAATATGGCGGACCACAATGGTAGACTAAATATTCATAGTTAAGTACTCATAATAGGGATGCTGCCTTTTTTTTGTCTCTATTATTAAAGTATACGCGTATTTATTGCTATTATCATATAAATGACGTCGTCATCAAAAACCACCGAGGTTTAGTTTAGATATTTTAATTTATACAATACTTGTATTTTCCTAAGTCAGAGATTCCCAAACTATTATTTGATCGAAGCTCCGTTTTACAAAATTATACCTCAGACCCCCATAGCCAAGCTAGATGCTCATCTTTTTTTTTTCAATCGATTAGAAATACTGATTAATTTAAAAATTGCAATTAATTACGTGAGATTGACATGATTTTCTCATTAAAATTTAAAAAATAAAATTAAAATGACTTTAATGTCATGTGTACTTACAATTAAAAATATGTAGACATTCCTATTATGAGTCATTCTGTAAATACAACACAACTTACATAGTATCTTGAAACTTAAAAAAAAAAATCTTGTGTTAGGTACTTAATAGTGATTGCCTTTTAGACCTTCTCATATTCCGCTTCCTGATAAACCCCAAGGGGACGATTTCGGCCAATTTGAGAATCCCTGGTCTATACTAACGAGCGGCTTATATAGTTATTTTTTTTTTTACTATAACAATATGAAATTAAACAAATCTTTGTTTGTTTTAGAATCAACAGTCTGAACGGGTTAAGGGTAAAAGGGGTAGACCTAGGAAAGTGGACCAGCTAGCTACAGTCAACAACAGATCACAGCAGCAACCTAGTGAGTAGAAAGATAAGCTTCACTTTCTCTTTCCTGGAAGATATAAACGATAAGGCCACCGATTGTGCTCCTAATACGTTTGTAGTTCGTTCTTATGTTGATTACTCTTTGCATGTTCAATCGTTGTGAATCGTTCATTCGTTCATTACTCTTTTCATGTACAGTCGTTGTCCATCAATCATTCATTCATAGATTACGAGTTAGTGTTACGAGTTAGGGTTCGAGATAAAAATATAAATTGAACCCAATAAAAATTAAGATAATTACGTTAACAAAATACGGTATTTCACTTCACACTATTAGACTCGCTACTATAATTTCACTACTTAATAATTATTTTACGAGGCCCCGTGGATTATTTTAGATACCACCTGAGACCACTAGTGGTCCGCGAACCACCGGTTGAGAACCAGTGACACACACATTCAGTCGGATGCGATTAATTTGATATTGAAATAACTAACTTTTGCATGTTTCCCGTAGAGATACGTGTCAGAAGTAACCTGATGCCAGTAAATACTGAACCAATCAGCCTTGACAGCGATGACGAGCCGGATTTGGGTGAGTGTTTAGCGTACACTGATAAATAAATATATATTAAACAACATCATATGCCCCGCGGCGCGCAATCGTTGTTGTTAAGCAACTTTTGCGAGGGTCAGTCACGGGATGGGTGACCGAAAAATTTTCATCTCTAGCTTGTGTTGGCCCCGGCTGCATCTGCAGTTGTTGATACCCTCAAATCGGCTTTGGGCCCGCGTTGGGGGCCCACACTCATTAAACATCCATAAGGAAGGCCTGAGCCCCTGCAGTGGGGTCCTAAAAAGCTGCTGATGATGATGAAACAACATCACTAAATTCATTGCTCAGATTCAAAGATGAGTAGCTAAAGCCCCTGTATTATGCACGATCCGAGACAGCTAAGGTACCACAACACCCAGACACGAGACAATATAAAAACCTCATTTACTACATTGACATCTTGAAACCCGGTGTGCGAACCACTCGGCTAAGGCGGCCGTAATCCTACCAGTATTATAAATGCGAAAGTTTGGGAGTATGTATGTATGTTTGTAAATCTGACGCAAATACTACTGAACGAATTTTGCTGTTAAGTTCTTCTTGAAGCGGTAATAGAAATACATAATCTGTGACAGACAAATAGACGGCGAAGTTAGTCTTAGTGTCTTAGCAATAGGGTCCCTTTTTACCCTTTTTTGTACGGAACCCTAAAAATGCATAAACCCACCGCCCTACCTAGTATAAAATGACGAGTGCTTGAAATACTTAGTCCTGTTAGGCCCTGGATAGTTCAGTGGTTAAAGCTGTCGCCCGGATTGCGCTAGGTCGTGTGTTCTTTTACCATTGGCTTGTGGATTTTTTAAGTATTTTTAATAAAAATTTCATGGTCTAACTCGGTAGTTCCGTTTCAATCTAAAATATTTAGAAATGTGAAGTAGTTTTTTTATTTTTATTTGTTTTGATGATGATAATTCATACATGGTAACAGGATCACCGAGTCAAGCTTCAGATTCGCTCAGTCTCGACGAAAACCTGCGTGCCATTAGGCACATACACGAGAAATACGCCAATATAGATAAGGTAATTAAAACATATATTTTTTACAGGCTTTAATGCATACTTTTACGCAGGCTTAGTTAACATAATAATTTATTTATATAAATAAATAAATATATGTGAAAAAAAAACAGCAATACAATAATAATAACACAACATATATTACAAGAATTAAACAAAAAACAATTAATTGTGATAAAAAAAAAATATTGAAACATAACCCTCTTGTTTACAGTCGGGTAATCAAATACTTAGCAGTTAGACGGGACAGACAGTTTTTGACTTTTCGAAATATAATAATATCTTATTTTCAATATTAGATACTTTAAATGCCACATCTAGATGCAGTGCAGGTCGAATGCTCCGCACATCTATGTATTACGCTAATAGTTAATACTATATTGCCCGTTTTCACTTACATTAGGAGTCGCCTAACTCATTCGAAAATACACTTCACCCATGACAAGGCACCGTCTAACCACCTTAGGCAATGTCTAAATTTTTGAAATGCGTAATATTATCATATTACGAACATAACGCACAAATTAATGTGCCAAGATATAAAATAATAAAAATGTTTATTTGGAATTAAACTAATCTGCTTTGGCGATTCGTAAGATTAGGCGTTTCCTAGTTAAGCTATGCCTTATTCTAGGTAAGTGAAAACGGGTGTTAAGTCGCGCAAATTATATAGTATAGAAAGTATAGCTAGCACAAAATGCAATAGAAAAATTATTTATTAATTATAGAAATATTTCTGAATAATCGCCAATATATTGATAAACAATCTAATAACTTTCAGTTTGTTAATATAATGAAAGAACTTTCTAAATAATAATATTCAATTTATACGTACAAATATATATGTATATATGATAAATGACATTTATTTTGTAATAATAACGCAGTAACAAAGGAAAGGACGAATTTTCGATATATCGCCGTAGGAATTATTATTAAAATCAATCAAACAATCAAAATTTTACTCTTTATAATTTAAGTATAGATATTATCAAAGATTAGCCGATACAGACAGACAAAAAAAAATGTTTTTTTTTGTATTTGGTATTGTGTACATACATACGTATTAAGTGAAAGGGGTAGTCCATTAATCACGTGATGTTTTTTAGCATTTTTAAACCCCCCCTCCCCCTCGGTGATGCATGGTGAGGTTTAAGACTCCACTCAAATTACGTGTATTTTTTAATACCTACAAAAATATTAATTTTTGACGCCACTTTTCGGTTCAGTAATGGCGCGGTAGAGGAAAATATATATTACAACACCCCCCCTCTTTGTGATATTTCGTGATTTTCGACGAACCCCTTGCCCCCCTTTCGAGCCTCACGTAATTAATGGACGGCCACAAAACCGTTCATTGTAATAATACTCCCAATTTTATTTATTTATATAGATAACATAGATTAGGTCATTTTAATATTACAGACAGACCCTCCAATTTTATTTATTTATATATATATTAAACTTGGTTATTGATACAGGATGATTTATACGAGACTCACTTGTTGGCTGCAAATTTCAAGAAACCACCGTCCGATGCGCAGAGACTGAGGGATGAAGACGAAGTGTTGTCCATAAGGAGTTCTGAAGGTAATATGAGCTGTATTAATACTAGAGATAAGGTTGATTTTTCAATGTCTCATCTTATGCCAGGGGTCGACAACCTGCGCCGTTCAAGTTCCATTTATAAGAAAATAATTATTTTATATTAAAACAATAGAAAATGTTTTATATGTATAATACAGGACAACGGATGTTAGTTTTAAATAAAATTTTAATAAAGGTATTACGAAAAATATTAAAAGGATATCTTTCAGTTTTCAGGATATATTTAAATACTGTATTTCAATCTTCAAGAAATGTATAACAATGTTTTTATATAATATTCCACAAATAACATCGATTCTTCCGCGTATAAAGCGTTTAAATGTAGATTGCTTAGACTTTAGTTTATTTTATGATTGAATATATGTTACATACAAAGATATGCTTTGAAATCTTTTTATTTTAATATTGTGTTTTTTTTATATTTCTTTCCTGAAGTTTTAAATACAAAAACTATTGGACTCTTACAGTGCTTTTAATAAACAAGGTTTAGAGTCAGTAAATTTACGCTAATAGGGGCCATCCATAAATAACGTCACACGTTAAGGGGGAGGGGTGGGGTCGTCGAAGTGTGACATTGTGTGACAAGGGGTGGGAGGGTCCTAAATTTTTGTGACGTCACGTTTCAAAATATATTACAATGTAAGTGTTAAAACAAGAAATTTTAAACTATTACTTTACGAAACCTTGCAAAATATGTGACATCACACTAGGAGGAGGGAGTCTTACAAATATGACCAGCTGTGACTAGGACGGGGGGTGGGGGGTGGGGGCAAAAAAAATCATGAAAATCGTGTGACGTAATTTATGGATAAATATATATTGCAATTTTAGTATCAGTTCAAATTCATATCATACAGAGAATAAGCAAACCCACTACCTTCTAGGAGTAAATATTACTCCCGTAGAACCTCGTGCTAGGTAAACCTTTGCCAAGTCTCTGTTTAATAATATGAATTTTGACTAATACTAAGTGCAGTCTCAACGGAAATTTACTCCAATGCCAAACCTTGTTTTTAATAACACTAATAAAATGTATGAAGTCTTTGCCAATATTTTTTTTGCTTCAATAAAAAATAGGCATTAAAGTTGAGGAGTGGGGGCTGGCTACGTCATAACTATGCAGAAAATGTACAAAGGAGTGATGCCGTGCGATATTTCAAATCATTGTATTGCCTTCGTTATTTGATTACGCGAAGAATTAAATAGTTAATTCTTGTTTAATATTATTCAATAATTTAATCGATGTAGAGATCAAACTATCTTCTAATTTATTCCCCCAGGTTGTGCGTCAGTGAAGGAAATAGAGACCAGAGTCGAGAAGTTAGAAGACAGTTCTAATTCTGACTCGGACAGTAGTAGCTCGGGATCTGGTGAGTTTATTAATTGCTTTCACTTACCTATAATAAGGTATAGCTTAACTAGAAATCACTTAATATTAAGAATAGCTTAAGCATATTTCTCGTTTCACCAAACTTGTATGTTAGATAAAGCCTTACTAAGCACTTGCTTAAGTAGGCAACGTTTGTCTATGATTTTGCAGGCTTCAGTTTGTCTTCTATTTTTTAATGTATGACCTATTTGCGTTTACACGTTTCCGCTAATTTCACTTTAGTGGCATTTACACGTAAAGAGAAAGAAAGAGACAACAATTTAGGTTTGTGAGGCAATAAACCAATAAAAATAATACGCCGTCTTGTATCTACACGGGTACCTAAGTCTTCAATGTACATATCGACGCTGGAAAGCAAACACGTAGTAACCTGCAAAACCAAAATTGATCTTCAAAGCAGAATAACTTTTATTTTTTTCGATAAATAATTCTTATAAACGTCCATGGTAACAAATAAGGTGTTCCTTAATCAGTTTATACAGAAATAAGACATATTTTTTTGGGAAAATCGAAAGATTTTCCATTATAAATATCCATTTTGGTTTTGCAGGTTACTACGTGTTTGCTTTCCAGCGTCGATATATAAAAAGTCCGAAAATTCAAACAATCTCATTGTTTATATTTTCTCTACATAGTATAAAACAAAGTCGCATCCTCTGTCCCTATATCCATATGTATGCTTAAATCTTTAAAACTACGCAACGGATCTTGATGCGGTTTTTTTTTCATAGATAGGGTGAATCAAAAGGAAGGTTTTTATGTATAATACAAGAGCACGCGGGCGAAGCCGCTGGCGGAAAGCTAGTAATTCTAATATATAAAAACTCTTTGATACCAACTTACTAAGTTGATTGTATCCCTTGACACATCTATTATGGCCAAAGAGTAAATGTATATGTCACATAACACAAATGTCCAGAGTTAGGCGCCGCACAATGCATGAACTTAAGCGTTGCCTAAAGTCGTTAGGTGTCTCCTCGTCATTGGTGAAACGTAGTATATATTTGTATTCCTCCTGTTGTTTCCGATATCCGTAACAAAAGTGCCTAAGCTACTTACCTCGGAATCGGATCAGTGTGTGTGATTTTGTTCGGTATTTATTATTTTATTTTTGACTTTGAATTGACCTTGTCCGTCTACAGGCAGCGGTTCAAGCTCCGGTTCCAGCTCTTCCTCCAGCTCTGGCAGCTCAAGTTCTTCAGACAGCTCCGACAGCGAATCTGAGGAGGAGAAGACGAACACTGAACAGCCACCTGTACAGCAGAACAATGTTCCAGAAGACGATCAGTAAGTATTAAAAAACTTTAATTTGACTTATTAGTAAGTTAGTTAGTGGGGGTTCAGATCATGCAAACAATGTACTGAAATCCTTTACTGCTTACGTGCTTAAAAGTATTTTTTTTAATTTTTTTTTGGCCGAGTACCAAAGAAATTAAAAAAAAAATTGATGATATTATGTCAAACTTTAGAGGCAAAAGTATTTCAAGGAGCCTAGAACGAATATTTTCAAATAAAAATGTATGACACGAAAACATGTTCAAATATCACGTTAAATTTTAACATATAATTTTTACCTTTAATACATACTTAGTTTTATTAACCTATATATTTGTTTTATTTCCTCGCAAAAAGCATTGAAAAATGTTGTAAGAAACTTGAGCGTAAAAGGTTTTTCGAATTCGTGCCAATGAAAACCCTCGCTACGCGCGTGTTTTCAATTTGGCCCTTATTCGTAAAACCTTACTTTCCGCACTCGTATCTTAAATAACTATTTTGTTACTAGTTCTACTTTTAAATATGCTTAAAATATTTTTTTATTCTTTAGAGGAGGGGACACCTATCTATCTATCTATTATTCCTACTTTATTTATTTTTATTCTTACTATTAATTATACACTTCATCCCGTCAGATCTTTCGGCGCTTGGTCCTACAGTAATCCACAGTCCGGATCCGAAACGGATTCGGATCCGGAGAAGTCCAGCGACCAATTGGTCGTGCCCAGGGCGGAACAGGACGAGATAAGCGAATCAGAGAACGAATCTGCAGACAAGAGTTTCCAATGCCACATATGCCGCAAATGGTACTCCACTCGTGTCACACTCAAGTGAGTCTTAATTTAGTTTTTATTGGGCCTTGATTTAGTTTCACCAAGTTTACATTTAGTTTGCGGAGTCTATGTTTAGTTTTACAGACTTTTCATTTAGTTTTAGTGATTCTTAATTTAGTTTGACTATGTCTTCATTTAGAAATTCTTAATAACATAAGTTGTTCGCTTTTCACAAGGCAAAAAGTTCTAGTTTTAACAAACTACTATCAACTGGTCATTAAAAAAAATTAAATTAGTATTAAAATTGTTTGATATGTCTTAAGTACTGTTGAGACATGCTTAACTTTAAATTCTCAATTCAGTATCTGCTTGTTATATAATTTGTAATGTATGTGTGTTCATCAAATCTTCCAATTAGATATTAAAGCAACTATCTTCAACCTATCGTAATAAAATTTTGCATTCAGGTTTAGTTCAGAAGACAATATATTGATAGCTAATTTATATTATTTTGAAACTATTATAGATATCCCAAGATGGCGGCTTAGTTTATTTATTTATTGAACTTTATTGACCAATATAAAGATGGTACAGAAGGCGGATTTAATAACATTCTCTCTCAGTCAACCTTTGGGTTATTCGTGTATTGTCATAATATAACTGTTAAATGAAGCTTTTGCTGGAGATTTCGTCTTTTGTTTTGTTACTAAATTTAAGTTTTTCGGTGCCGTGTTTTTTTTTTACAGTTATGTAACGATATAGATTATATAAGTATGTTTTTTTCAATGTACATATTCCCTATTAGGGGCCGTACGTACATTAATCATGTAAGGCTCGAAAGGGAGGGTGGGTGTTTTTCAGAAATCATTAGATAAAGAGGGGGGGGGTGTAGAAATATATCATGTGTATTTATTAAGATTTTTTGTTGGTCCTAAAAATACACTTGATTTGGGTGGATGCACTCAAAAAATGTTGAAAAAAAAACATGGCGTGATTAATGGACGGCCCCTTATGGAATCCGATTTAAAGTGCGAAATCTAAGTGTAGAAGAGAAATTGGTAGAAATTATTTCACAAGTGCCTTATAAAATCTAATTGCAACTTTAGCGAGTTGCCGCTAACAAAACTTTAGGCGCTTTTGGGCGCAGACACATTTATATATATAAAGGCGAAAGGTCACTCACTCATTCTGTCATCATGAAATCTCAGAAACTATAAGTGCTAAGAATTTCAAATTTCGCACACGGGTTCTTTTTGGGACTAAGACGGAATTTTACGAAATTCAACCTCAAGGGTTAAAAGTAGGGGAAGGAAGTTTTTATGGAATTAAGTTATTACTTATTATTTGCTTCAATATATATAAAAAGAAATAACTTAAAAATTTTGCTTGTTCAGAATCCACAGGCGTGTCCATCAGAACAGAGGGGGGGGCAACTCCAGATCCCGGACGAGATCATCGGACAGATACGAGTGCGATTGTTGCAACGAGACGTTTAGTAGACGCGAGAAACTATGGGAGCATAAGTAAGTATAAAGGTCAATGGCGGTATACAAAAAAAAAAATCACAAAAAAACTAAAAAAAATTTTTGTTAAATATGATTAGTTTAGAATGTTGATTAGGTAAAAAAAATTTAGTCCGTCAGTCGGATCATCATCATCATCATCATCATCATCATCATCATCATCAGCCCTTTTACGTCCCCACTGCAGGGGCTCAGGCCTTCCTTATCTATGGTTAAGGAGGATGGGCCACGACCCTCCACGCTGGCCCAATCCGGATTGGAGGGTATTAACGACTGCAAATGCAGCCGGGACCGACGGCTTAACGTGCCTTCCGAAGCACGGAGTAGCTCGAGATAATAATTTTTCCGGTCACCCATCCCGTGACCGACCCTTGCGAATGTTGCTTAACGACAACGATCGCGTGCTATTTTGTCAGTCGGATAATATAAATACATTAGATACTTTTTTTTTACTACAATTTAACAAGGAATAAGCTTAGATAAGAAGCGTTAAAGTTGAGAACTACAATATATAAAAGCGTAGTGTCATATGACATTTTAGAAGATGTGTCTCCGTAATTTAATTATTACGCGAAGAAACGAAAAATAATACGTGTATAGTATTTCAACGATCTACCTGCAAAAGAAACAAGAAAATTACATAAATAAATAAATCATAAGTCAACGTTATTTTTTTTTTAAATAAACTTACAATTTACTTACATATGAGTTCAAATTTCCAATTTAAAAAAACATTAGTTCCCGAAATCCAACTAGATGTCGCCACGGTACTTTAATTTCTCCACGAAAACCCTTCCGGTTTTCTTTCACGTTTAAAAGTAGATTAGTTTTCCGCCAACGGCTTCGCCCGTTTTTACAGCGGCTTCGCCAGCGTGGTCTTGTATTATACATAAAAACCTTCCTTTTGAATCACCCTATCTATGAAAACAAACCGCATCAAAATCCGTTGCGTAGTTTTAAAGATTTAAGCATACATACGGATATACGGACAGAGAAAGCGACTTTGTTTTATACTATGTAGTGATTGAACCAGGGCGAATCCGCTGGTGGAAAGCTCGTCGATTTCTTGATGAGGACTTCTTTAAAAAATCCACTTCGTCCCCGGCACTGTGAGATGGGACTCGAACCTACCAAACGGGATTTTAAAAGCTGGTTTTTAATTTTATTTTTCTGTTTGTCCGTCTGTTTGTTAGGGCTGAAGCTCACCGCGGCTCTATGATGGTGAGATGTGAAGTTTGCCGCAAATGTTTTGAAGACGACAACGAACTAGCGGCACACGATAGAACTCACACGGCGGACGAACGAGCTGGTTAGTATATATATATATATGTCGGCGGGTAGTCAGAAGGGCCTATTACGAAGCCCAAATAGATCGTCCATATCGGGGGACTATCTTTAAAATAACACTGCAGGCGTGTATACCAACGTGGATTTGTTCCATTTTATCACTTTTCAAACGAAAATATAAGGAGATGAGCGTGATGTCGTCGGATGTCTTTACTCCTCGGCGATCGGAAACAGAATGTGTGCCAAAATGGCGGCAATTTGCTTTTGTTAACGAACTGTCAAAGTCAGTGTCACCATTCTAATAAAATTAGAAGTATCGATGATCACGCTCTCTCTACAATCGAGTAATTAAGTAATCGAGTAACTAGCAATTAAAATAAAAGAAACTAAATCAAACGATCTTCGTAATGATGATGCGACATATATATATCTCAATGGTAATATATATAATGGTATCAAAAAAAATAAGTCCAAGTGCGAACCGGACTTGGTCCGTACCGGAGATGCGCGAAAAAATTTTTGTTGTATGGGAGTAACAGTTTATCTCAGTATATCCCATATAAAACATTACATTGTGTATAACTTGTTAAATAATAATAAAAAAAATAATACAAATATTATTCCCTGAATTAATATTAATTAATTAGTCACTAATTATATTATACTATATGTAAAACTATAGTAATAATCAGTGGTCGGAATTAGGTAGAGTTATTCATGTACTTACACTGACTTCATACAGCGAAAGAATAAAGTGGATATGCCTCAAATCCCCTGATTTTTTAAATAAAATGTTATATACTTTTACACAATTTAAACTACTGCACGCACGACGTTGCCAAACTTACATCAATGACATCGGATGTCCAAAGAATTAGAAATTGTCCATTAGAAATCCCTGGAAGGTCCACATTAACATCAACATTTCGATGCAAGTACATAAATAACTCTACCTAATTCCGACCTCTGTTAATTAGTCACTAATTATATTACACTATATGTAATACTATAGTAATAATATTTACTGACATTTCTTATCATCCAAAAACACATTTGTGAAATACATAAATTATACAATACTAGCTTTCGCCAGCGGCTTCGCCCGCGTGGACCCTAGGGAAATGTTTAGTGGGATAAAAAGTATCCTATTATCTAAGTCAGCTAACACCCTATCTGTATACCAAATTTCATCAAAATCCGTTCAGTAGTTTCGGCGTGATTGACGGACAAACATCTAAACATCCAAACAAAGAAACTTTCACATTTATAATATTAATAGGTTATTAGAATACGCTGAACACAGAGTAGCTAGTATGTATTACAACTATAAATACTTATGTACTTAAGTTAATACTGGACAAAAACAAAAGAATTAACAAAAAAAAGGAACGGAATTGTGTAAAGTAGCCCGGCAAGCCTATCTAATGCTTAACAAATTGTGATAAGTGATACTGAGTAGACTCAATGCTGTTTTTATTTTTAATGTATACATCGACGCCGGAAATTAAAAACGCAGTAACCTTTAATAAAAATAAAAAAAAATCCTTATAAACTGACTAAGCAACCACCATATTTGTCACCATGGACGTTTATATGAATTATTTATCAAAAAAAAAAATGATTTTTTTATTAAATATAAATAAATAAATATATATCAACATCAAATACATTGTTCAGATTCCAAGATGTGTAGCTAAAGCCCCCGTATTATGGAGTATCTGAGACAACGAAGGTACCACAACACCCAGATCCGAGACAATATAGAAAAGTTAACTTTCTACATCGACCCGACCGGGAATCGAACCCGGGACCTCAGAGATGGCGACACCTTTAAACCGGCGTGCGAACCACTCGGCTACGGAGGTCGTCAGTACACAACAGTTGTCCTCGTATATTTTCATTAAAGGACGTCCTGAACAAGTGGTAGGGGAAAAAAAAGATTTTTTTGGACGATTCAAAACTGCTTGAAAAAAAGCCTACTTGAATAAAGACATTTTCATTTTCATTACATTACATTTCACTTCGTCCTCTCCACGCATCAGGGCGTTGCTCTTTACGTGAATGTGAAATGCCCTTGTTTATGTTAGTGGTGAATCCTATTAATATTATAAATGTGAAAGTTTCTTTGTTTGGATGTTTGTGGGTCAATCACGCCGAAACTACTGAACGGAATTTAATGAAATTTGGTATACAGATAGGGTATTAGCTGACTTAGATAATAGGATACTTTTTATCCCACTAAACATTTCCCTAGGGTCCACGCGGTCGAAAGTTAGTATATATATAAATAAATATGTAACCTATGTTCCCCACACACATTTAACTGTCGTCCACGCACTAGGGCGTTGCATGGAATGTTGTACGTTCCCCGAGTTTATCGCGCGGTCGAAAGCTAGTAAATAAATAAATAAATATGTTATGTAGTATGTTCCCTACACACATATAACTGTCGTCCACGCACTAGGGCGTTGCTCTTTACGTGAATGTGAAATGTTTATGTTAGTGGTGTATATATCTATATATATAAAAATGAATCGCAAAATGTGTTGGTAAGCGCATAACTCAACAACGCCTCGACCAATTTGGCCAAATCTTTTTTTAAAATGTTCGTTGAAGTTCAAGGATGGTTTTTACGGCGAGAAAAATTAGAATTATTGCTGGAAAAACCCTAAAAATAGCCCTTTTCTTTTTCCCATACAAATGATTTGTAACTAAAACGTAGTCAATTTGAGCTTTATTGTTATGGTATAAAGTTCATATTAAATTACAAGCACTCACTGTTGTCTAAGCAATGTAGGTGTGTTCCTAACGTCAAAGATCATATCTATCAAAACAATGTGCGTGTGTGCGTTGGAGCACAGAATACATAGTTGGAGGAGTTTAATGTCGCGTTCCGAAACTCGCGTTTCTTTTGTATTAGTTTCGGCACGCGAGATAAAATGCATCAGTTTCCACGTCATTACATGTATTGCCGGAACATTGATGAAAATACGCTCTGTAGTAGCAAAGCTGTTGGGTCCTAGATAGCTCATTGGTTAGAGCAGTCCCTGGATCGCGAATGGGTTCGAGTCCCATTCCGGGGTACAGGTAGATGGATTCTTCCAGCATTTTTCCTTGAGAATGTTTATATTTTTTTTTAATTCGAATAGTTTACTTTTATAATGCTGTTGTGTGTAATGTGTTTTTATGATCATAAAAATCTCTTTTTTCTATATTTAATACTATTACTATTAATACATTGCAATAATAATTATGATTCACATGATTAACAATAAAGCGATTACTTACTTTTAAATCCTTATATATGTTTTATTTAATTATTTTTTATTCACAACGCCCTATCACCAGGGTGACGGTTCTGTTCAGGAGAATTTTTTTAAATACGTAGGCAAAAAAACTGCCACATTACAAATCTTTTTGACAGGACGAAGTCTGTCGGGTCAGCTAGTTATAAATAAATATGTAATGTTGTATGTTCCCCCCATATATATATATATATATATATATACAACGTGTCCCAAAATTCAACGATAAGCGGGCGCCAAGAGGTAGACCTGCTCATGTGTACTTATGGAAAAATAAGAAAAAAATTATATCTTATTAATCTTTTTTATTATAAAATAAAATTCGAAAATTTTCGAAAGAGTTGTAGCGAATAGTAGTGCTACTTAGGTATCCGATACCAAAAAAAGATTGAACATAATTGAGAAGTTGTGGTCGTGGTAGTTGAAAATATCATAAAAGGTGTAAATTTTCGAAGATTTTCGAATTTTATTTTATAATAAAAAAGATAAGATATAATTTTTTTCTTATTTTTCCATAAGTACACATGAGCAAGGGTACCTCGTGGCGCCCGCTTATCGTTGAATTTTGGGACACGTATATATATATATATATATATATATATATATATATATATATATATATATATATATACGTGTCCCAAAATTCAACGATATATATATATATATATATATATATATATATATATATATATCGCACACCTAGATCTAAACTGAGACAACTCAAAAATTTTAGTGAGTTTTGACTTAGTACAATATTCAAATACTCGGTAATCATACGCGTCTATCTAACATAACAGATTCAATAAAGGTTCGGGGATGAGCCGCTAGATAATTTAAGCTTTCTTTTGTCGAATCAACAGTGGTCGTGCTCCTGCCACGTAAACAAATGTACTGTCAGATCTCCACATTAGTTTTTGAGTTGTCTTAGTTTAGATCTAATTGTGCGATATATAACTGTCGTTTACGCACTAGGGCGTTGCATAGAATGTTGTATGTTTCCCACACACATATATATATATAATAACTGTCGTCTACGCATTAGGGCGTTGCATGGAATGTTGTACGTTCCCCGAGTTTACCGCGCGGTCGAAAGCTAGTAAATAAATAAATAAAAATGTAATGTTGTATGTTCCCCACATATATATATATATATAACCAGGTCGTTGCACCGAGTGCGGCGCCACGTTCGGCCGCTACGAGCAGCTGCGGCGGCACCGCGCGTGCGCGCACCCATCCCGCGGCGCGCCGGGCGCGGGCCCGCCGCACGCGTGCGCGCAGTGCGGCAAGCGGTTCACGCACGCGCACTCGCTCACCAGGCACATGCACAACCACGCCAAGCAGCTGTACAGATGCGTCGTGTGCAAGGTATACTATGTATACATGTGTACATGTAAACAGTACATATCGATTGATAAACAATAACCGGCACACTAATTGGTGGACAGACACAGATTCACTAGTTGATAGATAGATACTAGCACACTAATTGATAGACACACACAGATTCTCTAGATGATAGATAGATACTAGCACACTAATTGATAGACACACACAGATTCACTAGATGATAGATAGATGCTAGCACACTAATTGATAGACACACACAGATTCACTAGATGATAGATAGATGCTAGCACACTAATTGATAGACAGACACAGATTCACTAGTTGATAGATAGACACAGAATAAACGGATTTGTGTCCGTTTATTAATTAGTGAATTTGTCACTGATTTACTTATCGATATACAGACGCAAAGAAGGGCATAAAATATTCAAAAAGAAAAATTCAATAGCTCACCACATTCACAACAACACTTATTAATAGACAAAAACATATTTACTGATTGATAGACAGAAACAGATTCACTAGTTAATAAACAGATACCAACACTCTAATTGATAGACAGGTACTGATTCACTAATAATTGATCAAAAGACACCGGCACAATAATTAATAAACGGACAGACACACTAATCGATGTACAGACACAGATTCACTGATTGATATACGGACACAAATTCACTTATTTACTAATCGATTAACAGACACAAACACGGGCATATTATATTCATAAACAGACATCCAATCGCTCACCAGACATATCTACAACCACACTAATTTATAGACAGACACAGATTCACTAATTTATAAACGATCACTAGCGTTAATTCGGACACACGAGTGAATTCGAATTATTCACACTCGTTAATACAGAGCGTGATTTCATTCATGTTACTGGCAATCCACCAAAACAGCCAAAAGAGAAATTTCTACAAATATTTTAAAGTCTATTAAGATGAAAAGTTTGGTCAATTATGATATTCGATGTGGCTGGTGGATTTATTTAAGTATTTTCACTCCTTCGGACCCCTTAAGTAGCTCGGTGGTGTAGTCGATAAGCGCCGCGGACCGCGTTCGTTGTCGTTAAGCAACTTTCGCAAGGGTCTGTCACGGGATGGGTGACCAAAAAATTATTATCTCGAGCTACTCCGTGCTTCGGAAGGCACGTTAAGCCGTTGGTCCCGGCTGCATTTGCATTCGTTAATACCCTCCAATCCGCATTGGGCCAGCGTGGAGGTTCATGGCCCATCCTCCTTAACCATCCATAAGGAAGGCCTGAGCCCCTGCAGTGGGGACGTAAAAAGGCTGGTGATGATATATTTAGTTAAATATCTGTCCATTGAAATGGACATGGGGATTCGACTGTTGCTTAATTTGATATTATGTAATTACTAGAATTTTTGTATTTGCTTGGGATTTAATTACAATAAAATCTTATTATAAAGTGTTATAGTAAAATAATATAAGTTATGTCCATTGAAATGGATGAAGGCCGGGTCCGAAGGGGTTAAGTTATTTATTACAGCATTGTGAATGTAAAAATTATTAAATAGCATTATCAATTTTTTTTATTAATATGTCGGCGGGTATTCTCAAGGGGCTATTACGAAGCCCAATTAGATCTTCCATATCGGAGGACTATCTTTAAAATAACACTGCAGGCGTGTATACAAATGTGGATTTATTGCATTTTATAATTTTTCATACGAAAATATAACGAGATGAGCGTGATGTCGTCGGATGTCTTTACTCCTCGGCGATCGGAAACAGAATGTGTGCCAAAATGGCGGCAACTTGCATTTTGCTAACTAACTGTCAAAGTCAGTGTCACCATTCTAATAAAATTAAAAGTGTCGATGATCACGCTCTCTTTACAATCGAGTAATTAAGTAATCGAGTAACTAGCAATTAAAATAAAAGAAAACTAAATCAAACGATCTTCGTAAAGATGATGCGACATATATTATGTACCCACATTTATGCAAATAAATTAATACCTTACTGTTATTTGTTTACAGGCGTCATTCGCTCGCGCCGACCAATTGGCTCAGCACCTCAACAGCCACCTAGCGACTTATAAAAGATTGAAACCTTAACACGGGAAAAGTGCAAACGACAATTTACATTGGACACATACACAATTATTAATTATTATTATTATATTATATTAATATAGAGTTTTATTTAATGTGTGACTTTTATTTTAATAAAGTATCTTACCTTAAGAAAGATTATTAACCTATGTCATAGCGTATTATGTTGCTACCCGTCGGTGAAAGATTAAAATTAATCTTCTAGTTTCGGGACCTATTCGATGCGAACAAAAAAAGAATCATGTCCAATTTTGATTTAAAAATTAACTCGACTACTGATGGTATAACTCAAAGTGTACCTTAATCTTTAATTATTTAATGCTTATCTCATTTACCAGGGCTTGAAACCGGTTCAGAATATACCGTTTTTATTTAGGTAAAACCTGTTCTCTTATAATGTTCCGTTCTGGATCGAAACTGAATGCGGAGTGAAATTCGGATGGAATAAAAACCGGTTTGTTTGGAGTCATATTTAAACCGGTTAATGAAGAAAACCGTATTTCTAGTGAGCTGAACCTTTTATGTAAAGTTCCGCATGTACTTACGTCGAACCGGTTCAAAAAATTAACCGGTTTCCAAGCCCTGTCATTTTCTCTTACTATCTCAAAATACGTTTCAGCTTTCTGCACGGCTCAAATTCTTACACGTTGCGATCACCAAAGAGCCTGATTCTTGAGATTCCGTCTCATTGTAGGTACTTCTTTTTACTATTCCTCTTTCTCTGTAAATGGAATTCCCTTTCAGTTTCTATAAGACGAGCGAAATCCTTGCATATTTCAAAAATAGCGTAAACGAATTCTACCTTACGAAATGAAATATGTATATACATATATATATATATATATATATATATATACATTAGTATATATGTATATATACATATTATACAGTAATAGTCATAAAAAAATTTTTCTTTCTATTAATTACAGTCTCCATTAATTCTTAACATAATATTATAAAAAGTTTTGAATTTGTATATGTAAATTGCGTAATGTTAACAATGAAGAATTTTCTATTCTATTCTATAGCGCCTATTTCTCTATAGTGCCGTATTTTATAATTGTTACATATGTAGTATTTGCTGTGAATTTTTAATCAGGCGCTACAAAATCGAGACAAAATCTAACAATGTAACGAATTTTCTATGATCAGATGTTATTAACTTCAATTTTGTAAATTAGTAAATTTCGCTTTCTTGTTTTGGATAACTGCTTCATTTCACTTTGCATGTCAATAAAACAATATCTTTCCTCTTCTTTCTAACATTCGGGCTCATTGCCGGATTCCGGGTCCTTCCTTCCCCCATCTAGGGTACTCGCCGCCCTCGCTTAAACCTATGGGTGTAACTGTATGGCTTAGTTCCTTCGCCTGTCCCATGGACGAATTATAATACTACTACTACCTATGGGTGTAAACCACAGAACATAGAGAGAGATTAGAAGTATAATGATATTAATTTAGTATGGGGACCGAGTGTCGCCTCTCCGCACACAAATGCAGATTAGATGAAATGATCATTTTGTTCACTACATGAAAAACCGCCACGCGATAGGTTCGCGATAACATAAATCAAATCCCAAAAAGATACTAAGCTAAGAAATCACACGATTAAAAACAAACTCTAATTCAACGTGATAATAAATAATTTACTTTAACATGAATGTTGAACTGTCACATGGCTGTATATGGGGATACCAGAAGGAAAAAAATATTTTAAGATTATGCACATTTAAAAAAATTGGGGTCATCATTTTATGTGCGAACTATTAATATTAGATTTTGCTGTAACCAAGTGAATACTGAAAAATTAAGGCTTTTCCCTACATAATTTATTAAAATATCTTTTAAAAAACGCAGTACAAAAACTAAGAAAACTTAATGATACACTCTATCGTATGTCTGTGGAGTAATATAATTAAGCGAGGGAAAGTGTAAAAAAAAACAAAAATTAAGAAAACAACAGAATTTTTGTATTAATTACATTAAGCCTAATTTGTATTTTTTTCTTACTGGTATCATTCCGATTGTGCATATTAGTGATGTGACATATTAGTTGATAAAATAAGAGCTTTAAATTTTGTTATGAAACAGTTCAATGTAATTCAGTTCGACAATTTTCTACAGTGGTTTGATAGTAATTATTTAAAGCATTATTCAAATAAAACGAAATACATAAAGTTTGCATTACCTAATGTGAGGCATAATTTGTTAAGTAGACTGAGTTCTGCAGCATTTGCTGTTAAGAAAATTAGACTCTTAACAAATGTTGAAACGGCAAGATTGGTATATTATAGTTATTTTCATAGTGTAATGAATGACGTATAATCTATTGTTATGGGGTTCTGCGGCTAGCATTCAAGATATTTTTATTCTACAAAAGAGAGCTGTCCACGCTATATATAATTTACGGTCTAGAGAATCTCTCAGAGAAATATTTAAAGAAATAAATATTTTGACTGTTGCCTCTCAATACATCAATGAAAATATTATGTACGCAAGAAAACATTACGATTCCTTCACAAAAAAAAGTAGAAATAAAAATAAACTTGCCATTCCAAGTGCTTGTAATAGCCTTCTTGAATAAAGATATTTTCATTTCATTTCATAATAACTAATATGATCATTACACAAATAAATTGATCATAGCCATGTTTGTTTTACTTTATTATTCTAAATTTTATATCTGTAATAATAGTAGTAGCTACATTATTAATTGCAACGACTGGACAATAAGGAATCGCTGGTCAAGTATGAGTTTGAAAGCCGTGACAAAAAAAGTTTGAAGATAGACACAAAAGCGATAAGTACGTACAAACGTCAATCTAAAGACACATAAAGTCACATCCGTTTGAGACATGCGTTTATAAACTTATGTGCAAACATGGAGCAACAAAAAAACTGATAAAAGCTGTTCTGTGGGCGGATCTTTAAAGTGACTTTCTTAACTCGATTTCTATAATAATAGTTTCCGATTATGAATCAGCAGAATAAGGTAAATGAAATTGACGCCTAAAAATTAATTTTGTAAATTAAATTCACACCACCAACAATATTACGTTAGTTGAAAACATAATTTTTTGTTTGTATAGATATTATGTTGTTTTGAAATTCATTTGATAGGTTTAGGTCTAAAACAGATAGGGCAAAATTAATTATGTAAACAAGGCAATCCGTTGTAAAGTTATTAGGGAAACTGAAATATAAGTAATGCAAAATAAGTGAAATCCAGTTTCACCAGTTTCTAACAAGACCTATTAGGCCAACTCTTAGCTTTTCACGAAGTTTCGTTTAATTTATGTATTGTTCATAAAACGGTGATATACTTCGTAACTTAGATATTTATAGCACATCAGTAATTTTTAATATTTATCTACGTGTAAATAATTAACCGAATCTTCGTATTATAAGTGCCTGGACAGTTCATTATTTCATTTGTTCAGTATCAGTTCATCTATAATTTTCCCTTGTAAACAGTATTTTTTAGTTTTATATAATTATGGCATATATTTATTGATAACGTTGTTATGAAATGATGAAAGAAAAGCTCTAAATAAATATGTTTTAGTTATCGATTACGATCCATATAATTAACAATACGATTCCGAGCAGCAGCAGCCGATCGGTACATTTCAGACAAATGGAGGCACAGCACTATTTTTTGCAAAAGTGCACAAAATGATTTACATTGCTGTTTAGTAATGGGGTCAGAAACATTGATGTTGGTTTGAGCAATCAATGTATATTTTATTTAACATTGTGTCAAATTATTACGTTTTTTATATTTTAGCACTAAAATTGTACTTACCAGTGAAAGGAAATGTTTGCATTAGTTAGATTGTATACTTTGCTTTGCTTTTTGCAAGTGATAATAGCACAAAACGGCATTTTTTATAGAAAAAATCTGTAAAATCACCACTCGACGATTGACGAACGACTGGCAAACATAAAACCGAGGAAAGGGCGTCATATGAGTAAAAGCGCATATGCCAGCGACGCGTGCCCCGCCCACTTACTACTTCTATTCTCTCTCTATGTTCTGTGGTGTAAACTTAAGCCTGTCCTTTTTAGGGTGGGATCAGAGAGACCTGGTTCAAGGGCTTAGGTTGCATTTTCCCTGTGTTAAAAAAAAGGATAGTAAACGTGACATATTTTGTTTTAGGGGGCGTAATACAAAATCACTACTAATTGAGTCCAACGATATACTCCGCAAATACTAATTTTATAATTACTTTCACCTACGGGAAGCTATCATACACGGGTGACATATAGCTGCCATTTCAAAGGCGAAATCGCGGGAAAACATACTAGCCACTCTATCTATGTTCATATCCATCATTCCTTATCATTCGTTTGTCGTTATTGAAGTACATTTCAAAGTAATAAAATTAAACGATATAACGCTATAATATTGATAAGATGTCGTCTCCTATGACTAGTGTAGCTAGAGGAGTTAGGTGGTCGCTCTGCTGTACACGGTATAGCATCATTCAGCTTTTGGTATAGAATGTTTTATGACATTTTTTCCTCCCTTAATACCTGTCCACCCGGGCCTTAGGGTAAATCCGCCACTATAATTGTCTAAAATGACCCTTAAAAGCCGTTAGGCGAAGTTAATATCAAGTAATGATTTCCTTTATGAAATTCTAAATAATATATAAATTTGAATTTGTTTCACAAATATTAACTAAACTTGTTTATTCTACAGTCTAGGTTTTACGTATGTTATGCTAATTTACATTAATTAATCATAGTATACATTAAATTAATTTATTTGTCTTTATGTAGCTCATTGAGATGACATTTTTATAAAAGTCCTTTTTAAATACAGGGATAATACAATAATATAAAAGTGTTATATATGGGTTATATGTTATTGTATTATCTCTGTACATATTTCTCGTTTCTAAACGACGAAAATTCTTTAAATAATGTCATCAAATGAGTTTAGAATATAGAAATGCATAAAATATATATTATTTCATATAATTATTTTTATTTATTGA